AGAAAGGAGAATGTTAGTGAACGCGTCTGTGGGGATGTGGGCCTTCTCATCTCACATAACTGTCCGTCAACTGTCTTTTTGTTAGCAATATCCCTTCAAGTGGCTGCTATACAGGTTAATATAAAAGAATTAGTTTCTGTCATTTCCATATATCTACCTCCAAATCAAGGTATCGATCAGAGACAACTAAATGAGTTGATAAAACATCTGCCAGAGCCGTATATTATCATTGGGGATTTTAACGGACATTGTCAGGTATGCGGAAGTAGAGATACAAATCGAGGTAGACAAATTGGGCAGTTGATCGAAGATCACTGCCTTTGTCTTCTCAATAATGGTCAGGATACCTACTTCCATGAGCCAACAAGGACATTTCACGCTCTTGATCTTGCCATTCGTTCACCATCTCTTTTGCCCTTTTTTACTTTTAGTGTTGGAGATGATCCTCACAATAGTCATCACTTCCCGATATTTGTTACTTTTGCAAGGGAAGGACTGAGTCCCGTCGTAAGGCTCACACTTTATATTTGAAAGGGCAGACTGGGAGCTTTTCTCCTCTCTTCCGGAGCTCACGGAAGAAGTAGTGAACGATGTGCCAGTCGACAATGCAGTGAAAGCCATTACTTACATTATAATCCAAGCGGCTACAGCCTCTATACCTCTGACCTCAACAAGGCCTCCAAAATACTCGAAACCGTGATGGAATCGCGAATGCCAGAAAACTCTTAAGACATGAGAGAAATACTACCAAATCGTATTGCTTTCAAAAACGCTAAAGCAAACGCACGGAAAATACCACGGGAGAGTAAGAGGAATTCCTGGATACCTTATGTATATGGAATAACAGCCTCAACCTCCAGTAAGCGAGTATGGGAAAGAGTTAGAAAAGCATGTGGAATATACCGAGACCACTAACTTTCCATCCTGGAAAAAGATGGCCGAACGATCAGCACAGCGGAAGAAATTGCAAACACCTTTGGTGAAACGTTTGCAACCATCTCTAATGGCTGCAGTTATCCCCCATCTTTTCTGTCTGCTAAGCTAGCTGCATGCTAAAAATATTCCCATTAAGTTCAACTCTGCCAACACAGAGCCTTATAATTGTGAATTTTCCCTTTTTGAGTTAAGAAGAGCTTTATTAACCCTGGAATACTATACTGGGGTACTAGATTCCCCAGATCATTTAGTTTTTCGGATTTTCAGGAGATGGGAGCACTTGTCTGATTGTGGTTGCAGGTATTCTCCTAACTCACAAACATCTATTCAGTTGCAGGTTTGTACTTGTTTTAGACGGTTGTGTTTTCTGAATAATCGCAGTCAACGGGCACTCTATTCCCCAGTGTAGTATTCATGTAAGTATAATAGAGTATAGTTTTTTACGTTTTATCATTCAGAACTGAAAGTTGACTACATACAGCTGCTCAAGAAAGACTAGAAGATGGCCTCTATGTCTGTTCTATGGACTTATGAATATAGCTGCGGTGAATGTTGCTATTATTTATAATACTAATATGGCTGTAAAAGGAGAGCAAACCATACCAAGAAAGACTTTTCTTTTGCAACTAGGACGTGAACTAGTAATTCCGTGGATTGATCAGTGAATATATATATGATCAGTGAAACCGACATTACAAACAAAAGTTCGACAGGTGATAAATGAAGTATTGGGAATTGAAAGTACCCAGAAGGACAATTCAAATGGCAATCAACTAGCTGCGCAGGTAAACAGTGAAAAGAAAGCAGGACGTTGCAGTGTTTGTCCTAGAAAAAATGACAGGAAAACTACAGTAAAGTGTGAAAGATGTAAAGAATTTCTTTGCAACACATATAAAATTAGTTTATGTCCAAAATGCAAATGAAACTCATAGTTGTTCAGAAAAATCCTATCAATGTAATAATCAATATTGTATTTAAGTGTCATTATTAATGAAAGAGTGAGTATATATAATACAAACCTAATAAAAATGTTTTTTTACTCTATGGGGGTATAGAGTTCCCCAGTGTAGTATTAGTGTCCTCAGCAACTACTATAGTACTCCAGGGTTAAAGACACATAAATCTTGCCCTGTTCTAGATGGCATGAGTTACGAAATGCTGAAGCATCTTTCCTGTAAGTCACTGAATGCCCTTCTCACTTTGTATAATCGGGTGTGGAAGGAGCATAACTCTCCCAATGCATGGAAGATAGTTGTAGTCATTCCGATACCTAAACCATGGAAAGATCCAAAGAATCCCACCAACTACAGACCCATCGCCCTTACCAGTTGGGTTTGCAGGCTTTTCGAAAAAAATGGTAAACTGCCGCATGGTCTATTATTTAGAAAAGAACAATGTAACATCCTGATATCAAAGTGGTTTTCGTAAAGGCAGAATGACTATTGATAATATGCTTTTTTTGGAAACCTCGATTCGTAAAGCCTTTATCAAAAAAAAAAAAAAAAAAAAAAAAAAAAAAAAAAAAAAAAAAAAACACCTAGTCTCTGTGTTTTTTGACATAAAAAGGCGTGCGACAAGGCATGTAGACATGGGATTTTGCTTGATCTTCACACCACTAAATTACGGTGTGAGTCCGGAATTCGAATTTGGGCCCTTCGGTGCGGCAATCAGCGTCGCTAACTGTTATCCCGGTTGGGCGGCACTTTATTTTGCGGCTGTTAATTTTCAAAAAGTGGTCAGTCAGAATACAAAAGCTAGAGAGAAGCAGAAGTTAATAATCCGTGCATGTAAAATTTCTGTCAGCATCAATACTGGAAAATAATTTGTTGTCCCAGTGTTTGTGAATAATGGAAATAAGCCAATTGATGATAATTCATCCGAAACTTTTTTTAAAAAAACATTTTTAAAATGAAATTTTAACTAATTTTAGTAAAACTAAATTTATAGTTTAATTTTTTTCTAGATGAAAATCTTGATACAGTGTCAGAACAGAAATTTCAGTTAACTTGCTATTTTAAATATGCTTAATATCGGTTTTTTTCCCTGTTCAGAAATGGGAAATATTTCAAAGAATATGTTCATCTGGGAAAAGTTTATGAGTGGATGTGTGCAGAATTAAAGTAATCGATTTTCTTTAAAAAATGTATTTGCAGTATTTTGTTGGAATACCAAGTTTTGTATTATTTTGTTGAAACCTTTTAATATATCTTATTGTTTGATTGAAGCCTTTTTGAAACATTATTTAAGCTTACCTTTTAAAGAGCAATATTGTTGGATAAAGATGTATTGAAGTGTTATTTAGCCATGTTGCCAAATTTTCTGTTTGAATGTATGGTTATTTGGTCAAACTTGCTCTTTAAAAATTTCTATGTTCATATAATAATATATATTGAAACTGAATAGTTTAATATATATAAGTATATATTATCAGCTAATTTTAGCAGTTATATATATTAAACTATTCAGTTTAATATATATAAGTATATACTCTACCAAGCTGCTAAAAAATTACAGATTTTGCTCTAAATATTGATTTGCCTTTTCATCAAAATGCAGCAAAAGTTGTTTTTTAAGAAATTCTTCAATGCCTTCAACACAGCTAAGCCAAATCCAAGAAGAGTGAGACGCAAAAGCCAGAGGAATTCCTCGATATCCAATGTGTCTGGAATAACATCATCTACGTCAAGTGAAGAGGGTGAGAAGAAGATAAAAAAGCATGAAGACTATGAAAGTTAAAAAAGGATGCGGACGATATAAATATCATTCACTCTTTCAGGAAAAAGATGGCCGAGCTAATCGTACAATAGAAAACAACGCAACTGCAAATACAATTCCTGAGGCTTTTGCTGTCGTTTCTAGTAGCAGTAACTACCCGCTAGCATTTCTTTCTTTCAAGGACGCTCTGAAAAAGCTCGCATTGCATTCAACTCTTCCAATTTTGTGCCATATAATGGAGAATTTACCATGCTTCGTTTAGAGGAGCTGTGATTAGGTAGTCCGTAAGTCTAGTCCGGGATTAGACGGTGTGAATTAAGAATATTTTATTTGTAAGTCATCGAATGCCCTCCTCACTCTTTACTACAGAATGTGGAAGGAGCATATTTTCCTCAATGGATGGATGAAAGCTGTTGTCATTACCATAGCTAAGCCAGAGAAAGATCCGATGAATCCTTTAAGTTATCAATTTATCGCATTTACCAGCTGTATTTGAAAACTATTCAAACACATGGGGAAACGCCGCCTTGGCTACTATTTAGAAAAAAACAAGCAATCTCGCCTTATCAGTGCAGTTCAAAAAAGGGAGAACGACTATCGATAACATCCTTCGTTTGGGAAACCTCTCTTTGTAAAGCCTTTGTTAAAAGAAACTATCTTGTATCTGTCTTCTTTGGCATTGAAAAGGTTTACGATAAGTCGTGGAGCTACGGTATTTTGCACTTTCTCCGTGTTAGTAACTTGCGAGCAGCCTACTATTTTTCAATTAAAACCTTTTGATGCCGAGGATATTTCAAACAAGGATTGACCTTTTTTTGTCCGACGGCTTTGAGCAAGAAGAGGGTGTGCCACCCGGTTGAATGCCGAGTGTTTATTCAATATAAAAATAAATTTTGTATTAGCGAGATTTCCTCCAACCGTTTCAGGTTCCTTATCTGTTGATTATCTCCAAATGAATTCTCACGGAGCAGATATGAGTTATGTGGAAAGACAGTTGCAAATCGCCCCACTTCGTATTCCATCTATACGGATTTTCGCGTCTTGTTAATTACATTCTCTGATAGAATTACTACATAAGAGACCATGTTGTGCAATGTATTTTCATTAATTTATTCTGGAATTTTATTAAGAAAGTTTCCATTTAAATCACAAAAATCAGTTATGTACGTTAAGCAAATTGTAATTTTTTTAATTGAAGAGCATTTATATTTAGTGCATTCACATCCAAAATGCATAAATTTAGCAGTTATCTCTTTGAAATAATTTGATATGCATTGTAAGAATATTTTCAGCTCTTGAAGTCACTATGAATGGACAAAACTGTGTAAAAATAAGAGGAAAACACAATCTAATTTGATAAATAATTTATTAGAACATATCTCGAGATGCGTCACATAAGGTAATTTGACACATTGCTCAGGTCTTTAATAAGCAATATATTTATACAACGCGACATATCACAAGCAGAATTCACCGGTTACTTTATATGGTACTTTTTGTCATTTGATAGTTTGCGTACATTTAAGAGCATGTATGTTCCTAATCTGAAATTCATAAAGAAATTTCTAATCTGAAGTTGATAAAAATTGAGTATCATCCAACTTTTTTCCCTTTCAAAAGGTAGATAATTTGTTAAACTCGTACACTGAAGTAAATGCTGAGTTTTTCGTGTTCTTAGAATTTATACAGTTAAGTTTACCTTACGTGATTCAGTATAATGTCAACTGATTTACCAGGTATAACATCCGCGATTAATTCAAAACCACAATTAACTTGACAGAAATGAATTCTTGGATTTTTGGGACGTTTCACAAATAAATAACTAAATAAAATAGTCTACTAAATATTGTTTATAGGTGTAGGAAACCTTCCTTCGAACATATTAATCAATTCCTACTTGAGTTGTAAAAACTAGGATGCCGTAGCAATTGCCAGCATTTGATCTCAAGGTAAAATATCGTTTATGTATATTATTTTACTAAATTATTATATTTATTTATAATTTTATTAACATTTATTGTACGTGGAATTTTTTTTTTAAAAATTTTCTTTATTGTCAAGCAAAGCAGATCTTTGCATTTTTCGCACTGGATACTCAAACGTCCTCCATAACTTTCCAGTTTACAGCGCTTGATAGTTGTGTGATTATGTAGGCTATCTACTGCAATACTTACCTGCTCACATGAATGAGCTCCGCAATGGGCACTGTGAAGAGAAGTTACATGAAGTAGTTCTCCAAACAAGATATCAGGAGTTCAAAGAATTGAAGCACTTTGTTTTGAGAGAGCTGAGAAAAACAATGACCTAGGTGGCAAATGTGTCTCCATCTCAGGCAGAGACACTTGAGCTGCACTGGAAAATCAGACTGAGGTTTGAATTCTGGGAACGCGGAACTGAGAGAGGTGTCAGAAGCTGGCATCCATTTCTGAACACGGTGAACATTATTGAGCACAGTAGTGATGCAGTGCGAAATGGCCTAAACACACAAGGTGTACTATGATGAGTAGTTTACAGCGCTGTTCGTGTTCATCTTTACATATGGGCCAGTGTATAATGTTATCATATATTAGGACATGTACAGGAACTACGCGGAGCTTCTGACGTTTTTTTTTTTTTTTTTTTTTTTTTTTTTTTTTGCAGTGATTAAATTCCTAAAACTGGATATCTTCTGATTGCAGTCTATCTAGTCTTGATGGAATTTTGACAACGAACTCAGAAAATGTTGAAGTTTTAGCAATTGCTATAGTGAATTGTAATTTGAATTATTCCGAGATATTGTGTTATCGGAAACAATTCTTTACTACCGATAAAATAGATCTCTACACATGACAGTCACAGACCAGCAGGGCAGAAAAAGGTAAAAATGCAGAGGAGAGAATAACTCATATTATAGGTAGCATAAAAAACGATTAGCAATTTACATGTATTTCCAGCGTATTAATCTAGAGAGTTCATTTGGTTACTTAAATTAAAACTTTGTTCAATATAAAAAGATGCGCTTTAAATAATGGATGAATAAATATTATTAGAAATGAAGAACCTAAGTAACATTACAGAACAATATTTTTGAGGAACTTGAATAAGTTCAAATTCGTGGAGACAGCCGCATATAATGTGCTGTTTTTTCTTGTGTTATGTTTGTAAATTCTGCATCACGTGCGATTAAATTACATAGTGTTGTGGGTAAAAATAGCGACCAAATGCTATGACATCCTTTGTTATTCTAGTGTTATTACATTAATTTTCCTTTTGTTTTCGGTATTTTCTGCTGGCAGTTTCTTACGCAGATGGTTGGCTTACAATCGCAATAAATAACCATAAACTTTTTTTTCTAAGACAGGACCAGATTAATTTAATTAGGAGTTGACCACATCCTTATTCGCTGCATCTATTCTGCTGTCTTCATGCCTGATACAAGAGCTGTAAATATTTTAATATTCTTTTGTTTACGTAGAACAAAAATACCTTGATATAAAATTTATGCGTAACATTAAAGGTTCCGTTTTCGAACGTCCTTTTTACGAATTTTCAGTATTCTTTATTAACTCCACCAATTTTCAATAGTATTAATTGAATCTAATTGCATGCAGTATCATGAAACAAATGACTAATGTTTGACACAGAAATCTCGTCATGAAAGAATAAACGGAATTTGATTTTTAATTATTAGAGATTTAATTTTTATTATCAATGATCTGATGATTAATAAAGGGAATATTATATATCAGTTTATTAAGATATATAGCACTCATTAAGCTTATATTTTTTAATTAAAACAAAAAAAATATGTGAAAATTTTATAAAAACAATTAAAGCAATTGAAGACCATGCACATAATTAGTTTTTATCAAATAATCTATTCAGATTATTCTTAACTGAATAATCTGAATAGATGAGTGAAACCTTTCTTTCACAGATACTCGTAAGATGTAATCTTCAATTAGAAACCACAGCAATTCAAAAATTGAAATGAACATTTCTTTAATAATTTTAGAAAAATATTTATGGCAAAATAATTCCATTAATGACACAAATTTTGGGCGAAATATGAGGAGAGACAACTTAATATTACCGTTATCAATTTAAAAAGAAATTATCTTAAACTCTTATGATACATATTGCAAATGCAGTGGTATTAATTCCTTATTTTTTAAAGAAATAAATTTTTCCTTGCAAAACTTTTATGTATTTTTCTTTTTTCATAAGTCAGAAATCTGTTATCGCTAACCTACTTAAGAAACTATTTGCTTTTTATATGGCATTGTCCTCACAAAATTACTCTGAACGTATTCTGTTTTACAAAGAGAAAACAAATTTTACTGCATTAATTATTACGATGAATACATTACATTCTTTTTTCTTTTATTTTTTCTATGAATAGCAATAAGAAGCAATAAGAAATAGAAGAAGACAGACATCCTAGAAGTAATAGACAATAACAAATGATTTAATTAATGTAAATATATTTAAGAATTTTTACTTATTTTGTTGAAGTATTTAATCTAAGAAAATACTGAATTTTCGAGATGGAAGTAGAACTGTATATTTTGAATAGCTGATATTTACAAGAATTGTTAAAAATGAACTTGAATGAAGTTTAACGATAAATTTGAATATCAGAAGAATTTAAATCCAAACTTTTTCCTAAAAATATATTACAATTGCGATATAACTAGCATACATACATATCTATATAAATATACTACAGTGTATGCTGTTGTATATGCTCCTATGACGTTTGCTTACATCAAAGAAACAGATACCTTAATTTCTTTTGTATTTTAAATGCAAACGCGTGAAACTAAATATAAACTTTTTAAATCTAACAATACTTTACTCATACATGTAAATTTTTACATCAGATCTATTTACATTGCAAATACATAAAAAGCTAAGCGACTGCTATAAATTTCAAAACACCTGAATATGTGGGAAATTCTACCGATTTTTTACTTCAAAAATAGCGTTTGTTCATCATTAGAAATTTATTTTTTACTAGAGACTGGAGAAAAGAGACAAATGCTGCGGCTAGAACATGCAAACTCATTGCTACGAATGGGAATGCTTGCGGTCCCTTAAATGGTGCGAAGGCCTCTTTGCTTTATTCTTCCTCATACAAGTAAGACAGCATTTCTCCTTAAAGTACCACGTGCCACACATATGACGTAATGATTTACAGAGACCACTCTCCATCTTGTCACGACATTCGCTGAAAGCTGAAAAATTTAGAAGATATGCAATAAGTTTAATTAATAACACAAAATCATTGCAGAATACAAAAATTGGATAAAAAATAGTAGCAATACGTCGATAGTTTCAAAACGACTTTATAATAATAGATACAAAATTTGCAGTATGTACTGTACACGCTCACGTAATGTCCGCACTTTTTTTACTAAAATTACATCACTAAAATGCAGGTGCTGATATTACACGGGTCGTTCAAATGTCGCGCTTTTTCTCGTGAGTAATTTTGGGTGTAAATTTCATTTCAAACAGCCAAGTTAAGTTCTATTCTAAGTGGAAGAAAATGACATAAGTAATAAAAATATCGTAACCCTGGAAAGGAGGGTCCTAGTAGTTGAGGGGCGAGGTACTGTCCCCAACACACTACTTTGCCCTCTGCTTCAGATTGAAACCGGAAGCACTTAGTTTTTCCCACTAATGTCAATCGGCTGGTCAGTGGCTTGGGGATAAGCTTTCGGAAAAGCTGACTGTGGGGCTTCAGATTGCGTATAGACCAGGTGAACATTGGCGCAGATTTCTGCGTCCCCTTGTTGGACTCCGTGGTAGGTGGGTCTGTCGGTTCCGAATAATTTCTCTCTTAAATATGTCTAATTCCAAAATATATTTAATTAAAGACTTTGAAGACAGTCCCGTCGCTCTAAACGCTAGTAGTTCTGAAAAATCTGCTGAAAAGTATATATAGATGCAAATGTAAATAATTCTAACAATAGTTCCCGTTTCCTTGTTTTCTTTAGTCCTTCTGGCGAGCTGCAAAAGATGTCTCCATTTATGATAAATAAAAACATCCGTTCGTATATTGGTGAGCCCAGAAATATTAAGCGTCTCATCTCTGGAGACTTGCTTATTGATACAACTTCGACCACCCAGTCTGCTTCCTTACTTCAAATAACCAAATTTAAAAAAGGAACTGTCACTGTAAAAGGGCATAAGACATTGAATTATTGTCGCGGCGTTATCTCGGAAGTCGACCTTCTGTCTGTTCCTGACGAAGAGTTCGTTTCCAAACTCTTCGCCAGGAAAGACCTTATATTCCAAATCCTATGCGATGCTTCGAGTGCCAGCGTTTCGGCCATTCCAATATTTCCTGTCGTGGAAACTTCACGTGCGCTCGATGTTCGTCGGTTGGCCACGATAGCGATAATTGCAGCGCTGCAGCACTGTGTATAAATTTCAAAGGTCACCATCCAGAATTTTCCCGATCATGCCCAAAATGGAAAACAGAAAAGGAAGTACAGACGGTAAAAGTCACTAGAAACATCTCATATGCAGAAGCCTAGTTGAAACCACGCAGCCATTGCCACACAAACTTCAATAATTACACAGACTAGTTCAAAACACACGGTTTCAGTCAAACGAATCACATGCCAGTGCTGTTAAATCAACACGTACCCTTGCCACCCAAACTTCAATAAGTACGCAGACTCCACGAAATAAAACCAGCACCCTTCACGCACGAAATAGGAAAAATCCAACACACGTCGTACAAGATAAGGAAATAATTATTCAAAGAAAACCAAAAAATGTCCCTCAAAAAGCAATTAACAAAAATAATAAATTAACTGAGCAATAGTTGAGTAGATGAAATGATTTCTGAATCTCTAGATTCAGATAGTATGGAAGGGGAGGAGGGACTGGAATTTCCCAAACATCTGCTTCCGCGCAAAACTAAAAAGCAACACAGAAAGAAAAAACATCAGTCATAATGGCCACCCTCGTTTCATGGAAATGTCGCGGTTTCCACCGAAATTTGATCGACATCAAAGTTCTAATCAATGCTTATGATCCTGTATTCTTAGCAATACAGGAAACAAACCTGAAACCAGAACAAGAGGCAAAACTTCGGAGGTTTTCGTTCGTCAGGAAAGATAACCTTGCAGGTGAGCGTGCCAGTGGAGGTGTAGGTTTCCTCACCTCACTGGACTATCCATCAAATGCACTTTCTTTGAAGACGTTCCTCCAAGTTGTCGCTACTCAAGTAAATTTTGATATTGTTGTTTCAGTCGTTCTGTATTTGCCTCCAAATGAGCACATTGATTAGCAACATTTAAATGGTCTTATAGAGCAGCTGCCTGAGCCCTTTATCATAATAGGAGATTTTAACGGCCATAGTTCGCTCTGGAGTAGTAAAGATACAAATTCCGGAGGAAGACAAATTGAGCAAATGATTGAAGATTACAGCCTTTGTCACCTGAATAATGGGCAGGATAATTACTTCCATGAGCCTTCAAGGACATTACGCGCTTTCGACGTTCCCATCTGTTCACCATCTCTATTGCCATTTTGCACTTTTAGTGTGGGAAAAGGTATTTACCACAGCGATCATTATTCCATTTTTGTATCTCTTGCACGAAGAGGAGCAAACCCCATGTCAAGATCCCCTCGATTCATACTCGATAGGGCAGACTGGGAACTATTCTCTTCCACCGCAGAGCTCACAGAGAACATGGTAGAAGATGCGCACATCGATGATAGTGTTGAAGCTCTTACTAATACTATTATTTAGGCAGCTATGCTTTCGATTCCTAGAACATCAGGAAAAATACGAAAATATACGAAACCATGGTGGAATCGATTCATCCTTGATAGGGCAGACTGGGAACTCTTCTCTTCCACTGCAGAGCTCACACAGAGAATGGTAGAAGATGTGCAAAATAATGACGCAGTTGAAGCAGTCACTAATACTTTTATTCTAGCCGCTATACTCTCTATACCTAGAACATCAAGAAAGATGCTAAAGTACTGAAAACTATGGTAGAATCGTGACTGCCTGGTAGCGGTGAAAAAGCAGAAAAATGCATGGGGGATTTTTCGCAGATATCTTACTTTGGGAAACCTCATAGCATTTTAAGAGCCAAAGCAAGTCCATGAAAAGTCAGAAGGCAGAGCCAGAGGGATTCCTAGATTTCTTATATGTGCTGTCAATAACCTCCTCTACGCCTAGTAAGCGGGTTTGGGAAAGAGTTAAGAAGCGGATTATATAAAGACCGCTCATTTTCCTTTTTCGAAAAAGTTGGCCAAGTGATTAGCTCCATAGAAGCAATTGCGAATAAAATTGGTTGGACTTTTGCTGCCGTTTCTTCCAGCAGAAATTATTTCCCTGCATTTCTTTCTAATCAAGCAGCGCTCTGAGAGAAATCCCATCACTTTCGACTCTTCCAACTTTGAGCCTTATAATATTTTACTATGCTAGAGTTAAAGAGAGCTTTCTTACAGACTCATAGGTTTTGTTCGGGTCATGATGGCGTGTATTACGAAATGCTGAATCATCTCTCCTGCAAGTCACTAAATGCCCTTCCCACTCTTTAAAATAGGGTGTGGAAGGAGCGAACTTTTCCCAGTGTATGAAGGAGAGCTATTGTGATTCCCATTGCTAAGCCAGGGAAAGACCCGAGGAATCCCTCGAACTATCGGCCAATTGGCTTTACTAGTTACGTATGCAAACTGTTTGAAAAAATGGTAAACAGCAGCTGAGTCTATTTCTTGGAGAAGAATAATATAATTTCGTCTTATCGAAGTGGTTTTCGAAAGGGAAGAACAACGATAGATAACATTCTCCTTTTGGAGACATCTATTCGTAAAGCTTTGTAAGAAGAAATCACCTTCTCACAATTTTCTTTGATTTAGTAAAAGCTTTTGATAAGGCAAGGAGATACGGTATACTTCGTGATCTTCATGACAGTGGCTTGCGTTGCATCCTTCCATATTTCATTCAAAATTCTTTGGGAGCTAGAACGTTTTAAGTAAGATTTGGCTTTGTTTTGTCAGAAGTTTTCAAACAGGAAGAGGGTGTGCCTCAAAACTGTGTGCTTAGTGTAACCCTGTTCAGCCTAAAAGTAAATTCTGTATTGAAACAACTTCCTACCACCATTTCAGGATCTTTGTGTGTTGATGATCTACAAATTAGCTGTCAAGGTGAAGATTGAGACATATGAAGAGGCAGCTCCAGATCGCTTGGAACAGGATCGAGGAATGGGAAAACAGACAAGGATTTACGTATTCGAAATAGAAGACTGTGTGCACATTTTTAGAAAGCGAGCTCTCCATCCTCAGGCTGAATTATATCTATATGGGTCAGTGATTCCAGTTGCACCTGAAGTAAAATTTTAGGGGTGGTTGTTCGGCCAAAAACTGACTTTCCTTCCTCATGTCCTAAACTTGAGAAAAAAGTGTACAAAAATTTTTAATATTTTAAAATTCCTGGCGGACACCTCCTGGGGTGCAGAGCGTTGCTCCATGCTTCGCATTTACAGAGCTCTTGTTCGCTTTAGACTGGACTACAGCTCAGCTGTTTAAGGATCCTCTCGGTCTTCACTGTTGTTAAAACTAGATACTGTTCATCATCAAGCTCTGCGGATTTGTTCTGGAGCCTTCAGGACATCTCCTGTTGACCTGTCCAGAGCCTCTCTGTTGACTGTTACGAACCATCACTCCGTTTGATGCATGATGAGTTGTCTCTTTTACAGTATTTAATATATTGTCTCAACCTGACCATCCTTATAAACTGTGTTTACTTGATAATAGCTGTGACCTTTTTGAGGCACGTCCATCCTGTGTGCCTTCTTCTCCTGTCAGAGTTCGTCCTCTCATTGAAGAATTGTCCCTGTCTGATATGTCCGCAGAAGCAGCACAGCATTTTGAAATCCCACCTTCGGAAAATGCACAAATCCAGTTTCTTGATATTTTACACAGTTACGTCAAAGCAATGACAGCATCTACAGACAAATTTTTGCTGAGCACAGGCATAGTTACAGCAGTTATGTTTCCATATGTATGGATGGATCTAAGTCAACTTGTCATGTTGGGATGTCATTTATAATTGGTAACCACATGGAGGACAGACATTTACGCGACGCTTCCTCGGTGTTAACCTCCGAACTGACTGCCATACAGTATGCGCTTTTGTACATCTCATCGCTGCAGCATGGAAAATTCATTATATATACAGACTCCTACAGTGCAAGTGAAAGCT